AGAAGGTTTGTTAGTTTTCCTTTATCGTTTTCGGAGTATTTAATAGCGGCCATGACAATTTTATCAAATGATTTGTAGTCACGTTTGCCTCATTTCGTGAGAGCGAGGTTAGGAATTTGTTCAATTGTTTCTGACGTCAATCATTTCAAGCACGTTCGCTCTTTGCTCCCTTGGAAACATTGCCTGCGTGCAGACGTCTCCTATTTCCTTTGTTGCACGCGGAAAAGGGACGTCTGCGTAACGCCGTCGCTAATCGTGTTCCAACGTCCTGCTGGGTTCCCAAGATCTTGGGAACACGCTGTGATAGACTGACATACAGTGCGCATTGTTTGACTTAACGCTGATTGGTTGTTATCGAATGTGGTCTGATAATATATGCTGTGATTTAAGTGATTTATGTAAGCGGGGTTTTCTAACCAAAACAAATCAAAACATGTGCGATTGTGTGCTGTGTTTTTCGTCGATCGAAAAGCAGAGCGATCGAAATCTTGTACGGGAACGCGGGAAAATTTAACGTGTACGAGGAAATTATTTCTTTACAATTTACTGTGCATTACACATCACATCATATTTGTAAACAGTTTCTGAGAAAACTACAAAAGCGGCGTGGACTTAGCACCAGGCAGGCATTTCGGAGAGAGCCAGCCAAAGAAACTAAAATCTTTATTTAACCGTAACAAACAGAGGTCAAGAAAATTTAAACACTTTACCACTGCATCTGAAATCAAATCCTATCGGGAACACCCACAGAAGCATAAACCACAGGAAATGATTACTCAGTATGCATGTAACAAACCTGCTTCATGACCTCTAAATGGAAGACTTAGCGCGGCAAAAATGAGATTTACTCAGTCAAAGGTTAGAATGCTACATGCACTGTGCAGTGCTAGTAATCTTTGCGCGAGAGAGAAAAGAAGGAAAAACCTCTGTTCAAGCAGACTCTCAAGGTCACGTTTCGCCCGTATCACGAGCTTATGATATTTTGTTTGGCCTGTCAACTCTTATTTCTAACCAGATATTATTTCACAATTTATGCGAAATAGAATACCCTGCCAGCGGGACGCTGGAACACGATTGGCGACGGCATTACGCAAACGTCCCTTTTCCGCGTGCAACAAAGGAAATAGGAGACGTCTGCATGCAGGCAATTGGAAACACTCGTTAGAAAGTCGTCTTTAACTGTAGTGTAATCAGCGTTTTTTATTTCTACCTTATAGGAACCAAGGAGTGGAATCGGAAGAATCTTCGATTTACGCCTGAATATCGAGGACTTCTCGTTTGGGATTCCTTCCGTGTCCATTTGACGCACGGAGTTAAAGATCTACTTGACAGACAAAACGTCGATGTTGCCGTAATTCCCGATGGCCTCACTCCAGTTCTCCAGCCCCTTGATAAGTGCATCAATAAGCCATTCGAAGCAAAGGTCCGTGCGCAGTACAAAGCCTGGATGGTTAACGGCCCGTTTACCTACACGCCCTCCGGAAAGAAGCGAGCGCCCAGTAAAGAGATAGTGTTGCGGTAGATCGACCGAGCACGGAGAGAGATCCCAGTTGATTGATAACGAGATCGTTCAAGTCCTGTGGCATCAACAATGCTCTCGATGGAACTGAAGATGATGCGGTTTGGGACGACGAGGAAGAAGAAGCAGAAGACGCAGAAGAGCCGATCGACAACGAGTTCGAGACAGACAGCGAAGGCGAGGACGACGAGTAGCTGAGCTCAGCCAAGCTTTCAAACAAACGGTTCTTTTCAGAACCAATAAATCATATGTGACCCTCCACGGGATTTCAGGGAATAAGGTGAACGCACGCACACGGCACGTTATAACACGCTCGCACGCTGATGACATGACACGTTTACCGTGCAGATATGCGCATAAAAACAATTGATACTGGGAAGCGTGTTCGTAGCCATTGTTCATATCTGGTTAACACGGAAGAGCTTTGTTTTTATAACACGCTAGAATTCTTTGTGTTTTTTAACACGCTATGTTCCTTTGTTTCCTTAACACGGTAGAATTCTTAACACACTATTACATGTTATCTTAACTTGTACAACTCAGCTTACTTCGTTACTTCTGTTTGTCAGCTTCTTCTTTGAGAATGGTTTTGTTCAAGTATATTACTTACAGAATATAAGTGAAAATGAAGAAAATCTACCGTCCTATTCGAAAGTTTTAATAAAAAAGGAAATCATTACGGTAAATCACGGCTCTTTCCCTCAGGATTTTCACAATCAATACAGTGATTCTATTTCTAGCTGCAATTCTCAGATTACATTCTTACCAAATTTGCATAAAGCAAACGTGAGTGATAGGTAACGCAACACTAGCCATTTGAATAAGAAGAGCGTGAATTACACGGGCTTCTTTGATTCTCCGTGTTTTTTACGTAGAACAAGTCGTTGGCAAAAAAATGTTTCGTTTGTAATGTCAACATGCGGAGAGCAAAAGTGTTCGGGTTTCTTTTGAAACGTTTTATTTACATAGGATATCTTTTGCTTAGATTTTTCGTCTGATAAGGGATCGTGGACGCTGAAAAGCTAATAGTCTGCTACATCGGAAAAAAAATCCGCTCCATGGTCCGCGCTTGTGTACGCGTGTTGTTTTAAAAAGGGCAAAATAAGAGTTTAAAGCCGATAAACTTGTGCAAATGAAGTCAAACAAATCTTGAAAACACTGAGTTAAATGACCGCTCGAACGAGTGATTTTTTTTGGAACGAATAGCGTAACTCGTCTCCCATGCATGTCATTCGACAGAAAATTCAAAGGAATGCCATAATACAGATGACCAAGCCGTTCGAACCGCCTGCTGTCTTCAACAAACGGGTGACCAAGTCGTTTGAACGGTTTAATGTTTCTAACGAACGCGTAATTAAGTCGTTCGAACGGATTGATGTTTCTAACTAACGGGTGAGGTCGGTGAGGAAGCCATTCGAATGTGCTGTTTCTAGCGAACGCGTGACCAAGCCGTTCGAACGGTTGGCACAAACGGCTTGTAAATGGAAAGCCGTTTGAAAACGTAAAGTCGTTATTGTACGTTTTCCCGTCTAAGGTCACAAATATCAAAAGTCTCATAATGGCTGTAATAACAAGACGTTTCGGGTGTATAACCCTTCTTCACTGTACGAGAAAACCGTGTTTGCGTTGCATGTTTTTAATAGCGCGCGCATATATGCAATTCTCAGTTTCAATAAAGCTGAAATTGACAGTCCGTTTGGTTGAACAGTGCCTAGCTAGATAATCCCTCACTTATCAAAGGAAGTAGAAGAAGGATTCGCTTTGCATCATACACGTTCGCTCTCACACTAAAGCTTACGCTTGTCAAAATTATATGCATTTGTGCTTGACCTTCACAAGTTTACGATTTGAAGAGCAGAGGACATTGCTCGTTCGGCCCGTGTTTGGCAAGCTGTTTTAAAAAAACGAGGAATTCGAAATTAAAGCAAGAACTCAAACGCAGGATTAAATAAACGGCCAACAAGTCGAGACATTCCATTCTGTTCGTTGATTCATTGATCGATGTTGCACTGGATATTGACAACTAAAATCGTATTGGTGAGCTAATAGAAAGCCTTACAGCTTACGACGTAGTGCTTGTACAAATTGAAAGCAACTTCAACTTCAAAGAGCGTGCTATACATTTGACACGGTCATCGTGTTACACCGTGCAAAGTTGCAAGCATGATATTAACACGTTCCTTTGTCTCTACCGTGCGAAGGAAGACAATGGCTGCGATGTTAATAAGGCAAGTAACTAACACGCAGCTAACGTGTTAAAAGCTAGTTCTTTTGTTTTAGCGTGCGAGCGTGCCGTGTGCGTGCGTTCACCTTATTCCCTGAAATCCCGTGGAGGGTCACATATAAAGTCAATGATCAACGTTGTTTGTCTTTTGTTTATTCATTTACAGATATTTATTTACATAGTCATTTCAGTTTAGCATTATTTATTTGGGAAATTTGGAAAAGTTATATTTTGTTGCGCGAAAATACTCGGTTATAAGACGCACCCCGAGTTTTGAGCAGATTTTGATCAAACAAGCATATTTTCTTGTAAAAAATGGTGCGTCTTATAAGTGAATAAATACGGGTATGTCTTATAATATAATAGCGCAAAAACCCACAAAAACTAGGTTGTATTTACGTAACTACCTGTCTTTTTTCAGAACACATCAACAATGGCTGGTGCAGTCGCACAAAAGCAAAAAACCAAAGGAACACAACGTTGCCTCAAAGTGGTCAAACCTCAGTGCTTCCATGGCTTACAAAAACAAAGTAGTCAAGTAGTCAAATAGTCTATTCATGTTTTTGAACGTATGGATCAGTAACCTTTTGTAAATAGTTGAATTTGCTTTGAACAGTTGAACTCTGAAATATTGCATTGCATTTTAATATTGGCTAATTTTGTTTACTGTTAAAGCTACCTGATATTTTAGACATTACAGTATTTTTTAAACATTTCCTATTTCTGAACCGTTTACCTCTCTGAACCGGCAGTTTTAATAGTATTTCAATTATTTTTAGAGCAGTAATTCCTTTTTCCCCCTTTTCAATGCCAATTTTTTTTGTTGAGTAAAACCAAGTACCTTAAACCGTGTAATTTTTGCATCATTGAATTGGCTAATAAATTATGAACTGAGTTGACTGACGCACTGTATTGCATTAAACACTTTAATTTCATACATTATATATTTCTTGCTATACCAGTTTGGAAGAATCTGACAATGACGATTTGAACGACAACTTGAGTGAACTTAGTACGAATTCTGCAGACGAGACAGACCCTGCGTCAAGTAGTGGATATGAATTTGAGCTTGATCCAGCAGCTAAACTCCTTGATCAAGAAGTTCCTTCAGGCCGGTTACCTCGAACCCACCTGTTTTATCGCTTAGTGTTGAATTCACTCAAATTGGCGACCGAAATTGGGGACGCCACCAATCAATTTCACAATCCAGTTCTTCGAAGCTTTTGTGAAACCATTAAATGAAGTGGACACTCAAGAATGTTTAACCTGCTTATGGGTAAACAGATGTTTAAAAGAGGAAGAGGGTCGACTCACGAGTTTCACTGGGAGAATAACAATATCCCATTACCTTTACCGTCAAGCAGAAAAGAAGGGTACTTTTACCAAAGTGGATTAATCCGGGCATACTTAATAGCCTTCCTTAGAATTGCTTTCAGTAAAAGAAACAACGTCAAATCACTTGTTGACAGCAACGTACTTAAGGTTATACCGGTGTCCTTGGCTAAGGATGGTTTCACCCTAAAATCGAGCTTCGAAGTGGATCAACACGCTAATAAGAAATTTGTAACCGAGGTTGAAATAATGAGCATCACAACTCTCGATAACAAAACATCATTAATTGTTGGAAACGATTTTGTTGGGTCAGAAGGGGATAGACGTTCAACTCTGCAGTGCCATGTGAAAAGGCTGAGAGAATTGCAGCAATGTTTGAATTGCCTACAGGGAAGTGAAGGTTTAACGGTCAAAGAAGTGTGCCACACAACCGAATGTGGCAAATGTCTTTCCAGTAAAGCGGTCTGTGAAGCCTGTAAAAGTGACGGTTTCATGCACTGGTGCCCAGCCTTGAGTTTAGAAAAGGAACTCCCATGCCAAAGAGCTGTTTGCTTTAACATCACCACTGACTGGCAATCTAAATTGAAAACTGCTCTAGAGCCTCTGCAGACAGATCAAAGAGAAGGGCTTTGCGATTCCTACAGCACATTGACCGCTCCAAATCCGGACATTGTACATGCAGGAAAAATGTACATAGGTCACACAGCAACTGGTTTCTATTTATTGACAATACCCACTTTTCTCTTGTGATGCTGCGCACTGCACGGCTGTATTTGTCCTTTACTGAAGAGCTTAAATCTGCTGTAACTGATATTGCTTTAAGAGGAAGAGACAGGATGGATACAAGCATTATTGCCGATTGTAATGCAGAGCCTGTGTAGAGAATCATACAAAGTATGGAATTTTTGGTCCACACACTTGTTCCCAAGATATTTTGGAAAGAGTACGGTCTAAACAAACCAGGCGTGCTTGAACATCCACTATCAGTCTGTACCTGAAACTTTGGCGCCATGTACACCACAGATTATATGCTTGGTATCCTGTTCAAGGTAAAGCTTCACAACCCTGCTGATGTACAAATTGTGGCCAGACCTTTCCAGTCCAACGTGTGTGATTTATAAATCTGGTGTTTTTTTTGTCGCAGAAAAGAGTTGCTCATCGTACCTAGATGTCGGTAACATTGTTACACTCAATCCGAAAGCAATGAAAAAAACACGTCTTCATAAAGAGGTTCTCAATCGTCATCTTTTCAGCCAGGCGAAAGAGCCACTGTAGCACAAATGAGGCAGCTTCTCTCAGAGTGAATCGAAGAAAACTCTCCTGACACCTCGAAAGAAAATGCGTTAAAAATCCTTATTGATGAAATCAGCCCTCTGGCTTTAGCTGCCAACGACAACCGCGACGTGATTTATGTTTCACAGTGTGACTCGATAGTAATTTTGAAAGTAACTCTCACTTTCACTGGCGCAAAGCTAAAGGAAGACGTCAAGCCATTTATCACAATGCCAGAAGGGCGTGTTGTCCAGGACTGGTTTACAGCAAAGAATCCCATAATCTCTTTGTGGCCGACTCTCAGGAAGATGGAGGAATCTACGTTACTGACACTGCTTTGGCAAATGAGGAGCCAACGTATGTTAAGCGAGTGAGTAACAACACAGCGACCTGCAGCAGAGTATACAGCTTAACAGATGTTGATTCAGGTGGCGTGTACTTCAGTGATGTCGATGCTCGCAAGGTAGGAAGACTCACAGGTGGTGTCAAAGCAGAGTATGTGATTGGTTCTGCAAAACAAAAACCCTGTGATGGGTGTCAAAAAACTGCATTGTTTATTCAACCGGCATGTATATGTGCCGAAGGAAATTCACTTTATATTACTGACCCAGGAGCTGGGGTGCTAAAGCTTATTTCTCCAACTGGGGCAATCGCAAACTTCTTGCAGCAAGTGAGAACACGGAATTCACTCATGACCTGTACCAATTTCGACTGCCATTCGCCTTATGGAAGGTGCTACACAGTACTTTGAAGCAGCCATAACAAAAGAAAAGACCAGTGCTGGCTACCATCTTCAAAGACTGTTGGTAGCATAAGGATGACATTAGAAGCTTTAAAATCAATCCAAGCTCGGGTACAGACTATTGATGAAACTTACCTTAATCAGGTTTGCCCTAAATCCTTGGTGACCCTGATCGTAGAACACTTCAACTCAAAAATGAGGGAGGTACATGATGTCCCTTCTGTCCTGCAGTACGCTGCAGTAGAGGAAACAGTGAAGAGAACGACACAATGTGGATTCAACTATTTCACAAACCGACGAAGCTACTATGAGGTCACAGATGGAATGGTGAGCTTTGGGGATTTACCAAAACTCCCCTGGCCCCCTAAACATCCCGGCACTACCCAAGAGGTGACTGAGTTAAGAAAGTGGGCCCAAGAGTATGGTAAAGCTACGCGACAGCTCTCAGTCCGAGCTAAATCCACAAAGGATAACCCCGGAACCCTTCCTATTTCTGCCTATGGCAGTCGCGTACTGACCGCAAATCCCTCTCCTTGTCTTGTGGAATTAAGAAACAGCCTTGCGTCACAGGGTTCGAGCAGCAGTGAAAGTGACAGTGCAGATACCACAGAAGATTGTGGGTCCATCACCCCTGAATTTATTGGCAAAGGATCCGCCCTCCTTGTGTGACATGATCAACGAGCTTCAGGAATGTTTTTAGTTGGTGTGTTGGCACACGATTGGAGACAAGAAAAAAAACAGTACTCTTAGTGATGCAGCAAAAGTGCATATATACTATCCAGATCAAGAGGACTGTTTGCTATTTCACTATGAGTTCACTGGCAGGATCAAACTAAACCAAGTTATTTGTCAGCTAACAGCTGAGGGAGGCACCATTAGTTATGTCGAGGATGACTTTTCATCTGGAGATTGATGAAGACATTTATCATCAGTGTGTAGTTCAACTGAGCCAAATTCAAAGAAGAGAGTCCTGGCCAGAAATATCAAGAAAAGAAAACGGTGCAAGTTCCTCCAGGGGGAGGTCCCTACGGCTTCCGCACAGATATGTCCAGTAACCGACAATTATGATGTTAGAACACAACAAATTAGCTCAAATTGGCCTGCTCACTATGTAAACTTCTTCATAACTTAGTTGGTAGAGCACTGCAGCGCTAATGCAAGCTAACGCAGAGACCATGGGTTCGAATTCTGCTGGGTAATTTTGCGCTTGCTTAAAGAGCTATTACAACGCAATGATCATTTGTTCATTTAAAATGTAATTCCTCAGTTCTCATCATCTTCACTAAAAAAGTAAATACAATCGGACTAACAGTTGAGAAGTGAAAGGTAATGGACAATAAGTGCATATTCTAAGGAGCAGACTTTCTGCACTAAATAAGGTTGCTCCAGAAAATATCAATGTGTAACTGTTCATCAGTAATTAAGATGCCTAAAATGTATACAATTTCACACTTGGATTGGGATCCATTACTATCTTTTTTGTCCTTGACTGAACTGAGGTTCACCAACTTGCACAGCAGGCGCATGAGATACATCAGAAGGTAAACAAAAACGATAACCAAGAGTTCCGGTAAGGGAGAAGAACATACAAAGTACAGTATGGCTCATATAGTTGAGGTCACTTACTACTTCAGGTGAAGGAAACGAGAAAAGCACTTGAAAACATACGGTAAGCAAACGCCGAGTATAGTACATGATAATTTACGGTAGTTAGATGTTTACTTTAGAATCAGCACGCCCCTTCATTTTAGATCCAATGTCACAACTTTTTTGTTAGTGGAAACCTGAGCACGCACGTCATTAACAGATGGTCGAGTAAATATATAGAATCTAAAATGCCTATTGTGCGACACTGTCTTAATTTACTCGCTCATTTCCATAAGATGTACCCCTTAACACTGAAAAATTCGACTTCTGAAAACCAAACAAAAACAAAAAAAGAAAAAATTTGAGACTCCGAGACCTGTCGATAAAAAAATTCGAGACTGCGAGGCGCAAAAAAACGCGCGAAAACGAGACTTCGAGACCCTTAAAAAACGCTTTCGAGATTTCCAAGAGCCACGTTTTTCGAGGTGCCATTCGCCACCCCTACATTAAAGAAGCTTAATATCAAATACGAAAAGTGAGGCTGGAAATTGGGGGTATATGTTAACACAGCTAGCTGATGACAGCTGAGATGACAGATAGATTTGATGCCAAATATTCATGCAAAACAGAATATATATGCCCCACAACTGCTGTGTTCCCTTCTGCAATACTAACTCAAAGAAGAACAAGCATTTGCGTTTTCCTCGATTTCCCAAGAAACATGAGCAAAAAGATCATTGGATTGCCAAAATTTGCAGAGCAAGGAAATATTGTTCACTGTCACAGACAACACGTATCTGCTCACTGCATTTCCGTGAGATGGATTATCCAGTTAGCGAAGATGGAAAAGGAAAAAAGACTGTCCTGAAAAATGCTGCTGTTCTGTCTTTTTTTTAAGTGGTCCAGTAAAAAACGGTCCTGGACTACTTTAGCAAGCAAAGGAAAACACAAGGGACAATCATCGGAGGAACCAAGGAAGAAATGTCGCAGAAAAATGTGTCAGCAATACGATAGGAAGCATGATGTCATCAAGAAACTCCACACTGGTCTTCAGTTGAAAGAACTTGGTGATAGAGTGCAGCATAACCAAACCGAAAACCAAAAGTGTAAGCATGCTATAGCGCCTTGAAGGGTGTGAATAGTGAGTGATACTTGTACTACCTTATTATAGGAAATTAACACTCCGTGAAATTAAGGTATTAGAAATGAACGCGACTTAAATTAATGCGAATTTAATGGTAAACAACTTTTGCATAAAGAAAATTAACGTGAAAGAGGAGGTACAATTTCATAATAAAGGAAATTAACACGATTAAGACACAGTTGGCGGTGACGATTCAAAATCTATCTTGGCCGAAATCAAAGGAGAAGATATTGACATCACTTCTGATGGCAACAAAGATGAAGATGAACTCTAAATATTGTAAACCTTCGCTTTAGCTTTTGTGAAAGATGAAAAATAAAGGGTAAATCGAAAGAAAGAAAGCTTGTAGTTAATGTTTTTTAGGTGTCAAGAATGTCTGGACAGGTTCCAGAATTGGGGTTAAAATACTGGAAATTAAGAGCGCGAAAATTAACGCTGCACTTAATTAACATCGCGGAAATTAACGCTCAACAAAATTAACGCAACTTAAATTAACATGAATTTTAACGATCACAGAGTCATAAAATGTCGAGGGTGTAAAACACCTATTGAAGATCACCATTGGGGTATTCCCTCAAAGTTTTGCGAGGAGTTCAAGAAATCCTCGCCTGAAAAGGAAATGGAAAACTCTCCTCAGAGTGAAGCAGTTTTCTCGCCTTGGCAGCTGAGTTAGGGACCTTAGAACTGGAAGAAAAAGAATTGCAGCATCAGGAGGAAGAGTCAAAATTGTGGAAACCCATAGTGGATAAGCGCAAGCTCATCAAAAAGCTCCGAAAATCTGGCTCAGGAGATGCTGCTGGTAAGGACAACGCCACCCGCTTGACAACCAAGGATCTACCAAAGGTGGATTTCAGCGATGCTGAAGGCAGAACTCCTCTTGATGAATTTCTGGCTGGTTGGGAAGATCAGCCCCAACTCTGACCCACGGACACAATTTGGCAGCATGCTGGAGCATGTGAGGTCCGTCGCTTGTAGTCATCTCACCAGCGCGCAATTACAGAAATGTTCCTCAAACCCATGAAGACAGCGAAGGGTGAGAAACTATTGCTAATAATAGACTTTGTAAATAACATTGTGCCCCAGTAAGAGGAAGAGACCTTGGGCAACCAAGGAAGTGGTAAAATTTTGGTGACTTATTGGCCAAAAAAGCCAAAATTAGAGTCTATTTCAATCCCCAAGTGGGTGGTAGCGAACACCCATAATTTTTATAGTTTGCTCTCAGAGGACAAATTATCTACTCAATCGCCTATTCAAGATTATCTAGCCTACACGGTCAAAACAATGGAGTTGATAGCTAGGTTTGATTGGAAGTCCATTTTTATGTACAATCATGAGTTTAAGAAATTGCAGGCTATCTATAAGTTTTCATGGAGTCTTGACTCCACACATTTGCATACGGTTTTACTTCAACCCATTTATAAACCTACCGCACCCACAGTCACTACTAAACCATCTGCTTCTACTACCAACCAGCGGAACACATTTGCCAGCTTTACGCCAGATGGTAGGGTTATATGCCGCAATTTTCATGGCCTCAAGGGTTGTACACTCCTAAATTGTAATTTTGCCCATGTTTGTAATCGTAAGGTTGCTGGGACGGCTTGTGCAATGTCTCACCCCGGGTTCTTTCACAAAGTTGTCGAGCCTCCACGTGCGCAAACACTGCAAGTTCACGTAAGCTTACTGCGCTTAATTTAATCCAATGTGTTGGAACAGCCCTTGGCTGACATTTCCGCTGGGAAAACTGCCATTATCCCTAGGTCTTGCTTGTGTGTCTGTTTTGTTAAGTATACCGATTAGAACTGCTAAAGGTTTGAACTCAGGAGTCACTTCAAAAGTAGGTTGAGTTTGATCGTTTGGGTGAACGAAGTCCTGTTGTTGTTGACAGTGACCGACGTTTCGACAACCTGTGCGGTAGTCATCTTCACTGTCAAAGTGAGTTGTATCACATCAGTTGATGGTATTATACTCTGGTTATCTGACTACATAGATTAGGCTTTCTCAGGTATCAGTACTAGTGTAGACTTCGATCCGTCAACTTAAACTCTGCATTGCGCCATAGGTTCTCTCTACATCAGTCTTCATCTACTCAAGCAAGTCAACTTTTTCTGTGTGTGCAAACCAAAGTTAGTACTCTAATCTATTGCATTAAGTTTTAAGTTTTTCTTTTTAATCGTTTTTGGTTACCTTTAGTTTGGCAGCTGTTGTTATTGCTCCTTTATTGTTACCGAGTCGGCAATTTTCGGAATATTGTTACCTTTTGGAGCTACTAGGTTAGGCTTATATTGTTAATAACGTTTATTAACTGTTTTCTGCCGCCTAAGTATAGTCATCATATAACTTGATCATCTTTTTAGGCTTTCGTTTGATAGGCATAAATACATAATTTGGCATGTCCGAGTTGCTAACGTTATTGTGAACGTTAGCTGTAACATTCTCAAATACATCAGTTTATCCTAGAGTATTAGTTACATTAGTTTTCTCCTTTTTACTGTTGTATTTCAGTTCGAACCGACATACCATGACATATGGCTTTACAGCACGTGGTTAACAAACATCCTTTCATCTTGGCAGGCACTCAGTTTCCATTACACTTACTAAGCATTTAACTTTATCGCTTAAACTTGCTTATAGTAATCTTAAGTTTCTTAGTTCCTTAAATAAACAAATTTTCTTTTATTTCACATGCCTGTTCGTGTTTTTCGGTGGTTTTCCCTTAAAAATGTGAAATACAAGGATTACATTTCCTGTCAATTTGTTGAAATGACGCATCTAAGGCTAATTTGCATAGAGAGAAAGAAGTCACGTTCTGTTCGTCGACAAGAAAAAAAAACAAGGAAAAGCAATTACCAAGTTTTCTCCACAAGTTTTCAAAAGTCCAACATTTAAAGGGTCTAATGACATTTGGTGATAACTAGAAATGTTAAGGCTGTGGAAATTAGACAATCAGATGCGGACCTGCCTTACTGCCAAAATGGCGAATTTTGGATCATTAATGGCACTTTGTGCAGCACGCAAAGAAGAGTGCCCACAAATTTTATGGCATTAAGAAGTAGACTGGTCTTAGTACTTCTGATTTATCTAGGTGGTGTGTGCACTGGGATCGCTAAGCATCATGGGCGGTATTCAAAATCTGATCATTTGTGTCAAGATGGCGAGGAGTGAACATCTTGCAGGAAGCGACTACAGAGACGAATATTCGTTAAATACGTTGTAGAAATCAGCGATTTACCTTTATTTTCTTCCAGAGACGTCTGTAAAAACAAAGGCTATTGAGTTGTCGGGGAAAAACAGTGTCATTGGGTTAATAAGTGTATTTTGTTCGAAATCACTCGCATGCAGTTGGTAAATCGAAGAATTGCTGCTTTGTTCTATGCTGCAGTCATGAAAATACTAAAGGTGAGACACGTGGTTTGCCGGAAAAACGATTTCATCGTCAGATTAGTGCAACTAGAACTGCGAGGTACTACGACAATTTCTTCATTATTAGCAACATGAATTTATGCTTAAGTTGGCTTGAAAATCTTCTAAGATTCTGTATGCTTCCTTCTGTGACAGGATAGCCCTACAACAGTTGCCAGGTATTATGAGAGAACTTTAGTGGGTCAGCTTTACCAGGATTTACGTCTCTGTTGGCAACCTGTTTGCATTTGTCATTTGTTTTTCCATCTGTATTTATCACACCTGAAGTAAATGAAAAGTAATTAAAGATATCAATACATATACAGTGAGTTGTGTCTCATTTATAAATATAAATAATTTTGAGCACTACTTTCTTCAGGGATCTTTAGTCTTAAATAAAAAGATAATGAAGAAATACTGCAAACTAGTATCCTTGCTTTCTATGTTGGTATGAGTCACAGAATGTAAGGTTTGAAATTGAAAATGGCATTCAGCATTTGTGATTACTAATCCTCTTACAGTCAAGCAGATTAAGTTACAAGAATTGAGCCTAGGTGACATTCATAGTTTTTGCCTTTACTTTTTTATATGAATGATTGTATCAGTATGTACAAACATATGTCGTCGCATATTTTTTGTATGATAAGAATAATTTTTTAAATTCACAAAATGTGAAAATGTTATCCGTGTTTACAAATCTACTGTAATCACGGGTAACATGTAGGGAGACCCCTTTCCTTTCTTGTGACCCCCCTCCCTCAAACTACTTTTGTTTAATTCAAATGTTGTGTCATAGGTGTTATTTACTTCAGTCTTTTCGGCTAGCAGTTGTTACCGTGGTGGATCCTAGTAGCAACCCTTTTTTTTCCCACTTTGGATATCTTGTAGTTAATTTTTATCTCAGGTAAATTTTATTTTTCTTTTGTTTCAACTCCACATTAAAATACCTAAAACAAAAGAAAAATAAAAATTACCTGAGATAAAAAATTAACTACAACAGATATTCCCTTTCCTGTCAACTATTTTTCCCTTAGCCTTGGTTCCCCAATTATAACTTAGTAAATCTATGAGATAAGCTGTATTAACTCAAGCCACCAAAATATGCAAATCCCTTGATATAACTATGTTCTTGGGGTAAATAGGTTGACTGACCTCAGTGTTTAAGCAGTTCGTTGCCTAGCTGTTCCAAATTCCTCTAAACTACAATAATCCTAACATCCACCCACAAACACACACACACACGTCTTGAACAGAGATAGTTATTAATTTGACAGTCAGGTGTAATAAGAACAATGGGAATATTACGTTGACTAGAATCAAAGTGCCAGCTTGGTGGCTTCTGCATGACACCACTCATGCATTTCTCTCACCACTTTTTTTCGTAAAGGGTAGCTGTTTTCAAAATGTACAGGGTTTATCTGTATTTAAAAATAATTTATCTTTGAGGAAAAAATATTCAGGTGCTTTCATTACACTCTCAGAGGCTTCACATGCATCACATTATCATTTTACTTGGTCTAATTTGTCTTCAATCAGACTTTAATAGGCCATTTTTCATTCATACATTTTTTCATAAATCTGACATTTGTTATGTGCAATCTGTAACGTTTATGTCTTGTGTGGCATGATGCGCGAAGCATGCCAGGGTTGTAGAGAATATGGTGAGTTGTTGAACAGGTGCTTGACTGTTGTGTCTTGCTAATTCACTTTGTGTATGATAACAACCCATTACGTTGGCCACGAGTACGGGATGTTGCTGCAAGTAACTGGAACAGTCTTTTTGACAGATTTGCCGATTTCATGATCGCCTCCGCTCTTCCAAACTTCCATCCTTTTGATATCCATGCTGACGGTGCAAACGCTGGCAAAGGTGGATCACACGTCCTGAAAATCTGTTCGTCGCTGCTGCCATCACTGATAAGAAAAGACAGCGAGCTTTTCTTCTTTACTACACCGGAGAAGAGGTGTGCGAGATTTTTGAAACTTTAGTGGATACAGGTGACCATTTTGCAATGGCAAAAGAAAAGCTCACATAATATTTCGATCCGAAGAAGAATGTCGAGTATGAAATTTACACGTTTTGGCAAGCCTGACAGAACCCAGGCGAGTCCATGAAGGCATTTCACTCTCATTTGCATCAATTATCTGCTGCTTGTGAGTTTGGGGATGTCGACAAGGAAATTAAATCACAGATTATTTTATCCTGTTCATCGCAGCGTCTTCAACACAAGGCTTTAAGAGATACGATCATGACACTTGAGACCTTATTGAATGTGGCACGACCTCTGGAAATCTCGGAAATGCAAGCAAAGGATATGGAATAGTCAGGAAATGCGGCTAATGCTGTGCTTCCTACTCCATCACAGCCGAAGAAAAATTGTTTCAATTGTGGTGAAATTTGGTCACAAGACTCAAAGACGGGTTGTCCTGCGTGAAATCGCAAGTGCAATGGCTGTCATAAATATGATCACTATGCGAAATGCTGCACGCAAAAGTCGGATGAGACCCAAAATTCCCGAAAAGGCAAGCAGCCATGTGAAAATGAAAAAACAAAATGTTAACCGATTGGAAGCAGAATGTGAGGAACATGAGACCTTGTCAAGCTCTGATGACGAGCATACATTTAAGTTAGAAGTCCCCGCCTCGAAGGTCAGTGCTCCCTTTGTCTCTTTGAAAGTGAACAGTGTTGTGTGCAAGTTCTTGGTAGACTCTGGGGCGAGTGTGAACATTGTTAGTTCCAATGCAGTTAAAGTTTTTGGTGTCGACCTGCAACCCTGCAGTACAAGGGTCTATGCCTTCAATTCATCTACCCTGCTTCCCGTGATAGGAAAGTTCTCAGCCCTCATTGAATCAAAGTGTAGTGCAGTCGACGCTGAATTTCTTGTGGTGGAGAGTAAAACTTCTCTTCTGGGATACACCACGGCCACAGAGTTAAGAATACTTCAGATTGCAAATGTATCGGTGGAGAAAAACGTACTCCAGCGGTACCCTAGTCTGTTCACTGGTCTTGGAAAAATGAAGAATGTTGAAGTTAAGCTGCATATTGATGGAAATGTGAGTCCTGTTCATCAAACACACCGAAGAATTCCTTTTCACCAACGCAAAAGCCTAGAGACTTGTGTAGAGTCCTTGCTTCAACAGGACATAATTGAGCCTGCTGTTGGTCCAACCCCCTGGGTGTCTTCCGTTGTCTTAGTCCCAGAGCCAAAGCAACCTGGTGGTGTTCGTTTGTGCGTAGATATGCGTGAGGCAAACAAAGCTATCTCGAGAGAGCGACATCTGCTGCCTACCCCTGATGAAGTGATACATGATCTGAATAGCCCTACTGTGTTTAGCAAATTGGATCTAAATCAGGGCTGTCATCAGTTGCTGTTGCACCCTGACTCAAGGCACATTACCTGATTCTCTACTCACACTGGCTTATTCAGGTACAAGCATTTCAGTTTTGGCATTAACGCTGCTGCTGAAAAGTTTCAGACTGTGATTGCCTCTGCCATAAGTGACATTCCAAATGTTAAGAACATAAGTGATGTCATAATCTGTGGAGTGAATGTTCAGGGACATGATAAGGCTCCAGTGCTGACTCGTTTCCAAGAGCTGAACCTCACTCTTCGCAAAGACAAATGCCACTTCTACATGCTTCGAATTGAGTTCTTTGGAATGGTCATCAGTGCACAAGGAATGTCCCCTGACCCTGCTAAGGTCAAAGCAATTAAACAAGCTGACCCACCAACCTCTGTCAGTGATGTCAGAAGCCTGGTTGGCATGACAAACCATGTATCGCGTTTCATCTGTAATTATGCAGACATCGTTGCTCCCTTGTGTGACCTCACCTACAAAGCAGAGGCGGATCCAGGGGAGGGGTTGAGGGGGTTGCAACCCCCCCTTTGAGAATTTTTTTTTGTTATTTTGCTTGATTCTTCGTAAAATAATAATAGAATAAAATTGTTTTTACGAAGTTATTTCACTTTTACCATTCGACTGCTTGTCAAGTTATGAAAAGATAATGTACATTTCGCAAAGGTCGTATCAGGTTCAGGTATAACAAGCGACATGAACAGGTGACATTCATTGAAAAGTAGACGAGAGAGATTGAGACCGACCGAATGCTTGAGTATTGTTGAAGTCACATGTTGCAAACTGCCTTTTACTTCTTTTATTGTCTAAAAATATGTTTCTTTAGTCCATGCAAGAACCAAGAAAAAGTTTTCTTCATAAAATTAAATTAAGATATTGTGGTTTTTGACAAAAGTTGTCGCAGTATCCTCGACATACCGTGTAATTCATAAACAAAGTGCATTTTCCATCACGCCGCCATCTTGCCAAATGGCTGGCGAGAAAATCATTCCTTTCAAATATAAACATTTTGCAGATTCAGCGCCTGAAGAATCAAGGTCTGAAGAATCCGCGAGTAATAATGAAGATATTAACGAAGGTAAGCAGAAATAAAATTTTCATTAAACCGAGGCAGATACATTAAAATTTATCTTGATATTAAGACTTAATTAATACTTCTAAATGAACTGTCGCGATAAATACAGAAAGAAGCTGTTCTGCTCCTCCGAACAAGCTACCAAAACTCAGCAACCCAGATGATCAAGCTGAAGTGTCCGGGATCGAAGGTAGAAGATGCTCATTTTTATTTACCTGAATGGTAAACTTATATTGACCAGTCCGAGAAAAGAGTATTTATTCAAATGATGCAAGAAGTCTGGAGAATTTCAAGTAAAACTGACTAGTATTAATTTCGTTTTGTACACAGCTTTGCCTGATGAAGTATTGGTCGAGGTGTTTAAAAACTTCTCCCTTAAAGAAATGCTTAAAACATTATGCCTGGTCTCACAAAGGTGGAGGCACATTGTAAACAATAACAGCATTCTGTGGAGTTGCCTCCTTCTTGATGAGTGGCACATAAGATATTAAGTGAAGAACAGTTTATTAACATCATGTCACACTCCAGTGGGTTCAAATATTTTTCCATAAGATATATCGAAATGACAACATCGGAAATGAGGCTGGAAGCATTACTAGGAAATAGTCTAGAATTTTCTAAACATTTGAGATATTTGGATTTAAGTGGACAACCGATATCATCCCTTAATTTCCTATTGATTGAGTCCTCTCCTCTTGAAACCTTGATCCTTAATGACTGTCAAAAAATAGATACCTGTTGCTGTACTGCTATTTTAAAGCAATTAAGAAATTCTAGAATTATCTCTCAACCGAGTAGGATTCACTGCCAATCAAGTGACAACAATTACTGCCTCTTCATGCTTATTGAATGTTCTGTGCCTGGTTGGTGTAAGCCTTGCAAGAAAAGACATAAGACTGATTTTGAAAAAAATTGAATCACCTTCAGTTTTTTGAAATATCTTGCAGTTCTGAAGATGAAGAACATATCTATGCTCTAGGGGAAGAATATGACGTTAGTTTTGTTTGCCGCTAAGAGTAAAAATATGTTATATAATATGGTGGCTTAACAGTGTTGTGTTATAGAAAATAGTTTATTACAACATTTACTGAAGGTCTAACCAAGACATTTTGTATGAGACCTGTATAGTAAAATATCAGCAGGCTATGGTATTTTTTAAATTGTGTGTATGACAACTTCAAATATTGTCAATTGAAATTTTGTCAAATAAAAAGTATGTGTTCAATTTTATTGAGGTTATTTGAAGTAGGTAAGGGACTAACATATTAAGGGTTATGAATGTATACAAATAATTGTTTTTATAAATTTTAGATGTAGTTACAGAAGGTCCTGTGGCTGCCACTGCTGGTTCAACCACAGGCACAAAGATCGATTTGGGTACTGTTGTGAAAGCTGCTGAAGGCTCGTGGGATGTTTTGAGGCGATTATCGCACGAAATTACAGATGAAAAAAGAATGCAATACCTTACGTTTCACTGGAAGCCCTCTGAGTCCGATATACTTCATTCTCATCAAGTTACCAAAGGAAAGAAGACGTGGAAAGTTTCTTTTCAATCCAAATGGCTAAAACAGTTTCCCTGGCTTTGCTACAGTAACTTACTTGAAGGTGGTATTTGTAGTCACTGTATCTTATTCCCTCACAAAGTTACCAAGGGAACAACACCAGGTGTATTGGTCACAGCAATACCAAAAATACCAAAAATCGTACACTAAGGCACTTGGCAAGGATGGAATCCGCAACTGTCATGAGCAATCTGTAATGCATAAATACACAACTGAACGGGCAGACCTCTTAAATGACAGCCCTAAGCGGCAGCAGCTGTTCGAGTTGACACTGAAAGAATACCTGCCTGAGAATTCTCACAGCAAGCTTCCAGGTCTTTGCAAGACTCGCTGGGTGGAAAGACACACGTGCCTAGATGTTTTCCTGGAAATGTATGAGCTCCTTGTCACCTTTCTAGATGCAGTTATTTTCCCCAACGAGTACCCACATTTGAAATTGTCTACTGGAAGCTGGAATTGGGACAAATATACTATCACAAAAGCCCAGGGACTGAAAGCCTCATTGTTGTCATTCCAGACTGTAGTGGTTTTCATTACAACCAAGAATATTCTTGATGAAGTCAAAGCTCTTGCATCAAAGCTGCAGAAACAAGATCAAGATGTTTTGAAGCTTACACAATGGTTGACGAAGTAATTGGAAACATCAAGTCTGCTAGAAAAAACATTGACATTGACTTTCAAGTCTGGTACAAAGAAATGTTAGACCTTTCTGAGAAACTAGGAATCGTTGAAGCTATACCCAGAAAGACTAGCATACAGAGGAATCGCTCAAACATTCCCAGTTCTAGTCCAATTGATCACTACAAAAAATCTGTGGCTATTCCCCTTCTTGATTCCCTGATTATTCAAATGCAAGACCGATTTTCTGACGAGGATCGCCACGCCCGTCACTTGCTTTATCTAGTACCCTCAATCATAGTTAATAACACCCAGGAACTATCTGAAGCAGCAAAAGGCATGTTGTTCTGGGAGAATGACCTTCCATTTCCCAAATCCCTTGGAAATGAGCTGAGAAGATGGCCAACGATGTGGCAGTCAGCAGAGAAGGAGCTTCCAAACAATCTTCTATTAGCACTTGGTGCGTGTGACGAGGATACTTTTCCAAACATCCATTGTCTTCTTCTAATTGCGTGCACCCTACCAATCAGTAGTGCGGAAGCTGAGCGGTCCTTTTCACTCATGAAACGGATCGAGACCTGCACCAGATCAACGATGTCTGAAGAGCGCTTCTCAGATCTCGCTGTGATCGCCATGCATTACCCGGAGAGATTCCAAGTAGACGAGATCTGCGATGCTTTTGTAAAAGCTCATCCTAGAAGACTATTTCAGGCTACGCTGTTTGATTGAGGCACATTGAGGTACAAATAACTATTGTTGATACTGTTGTCTCTTTCAATCATGCATTATTATTTTTGGGTTTCTGAATGAGAAATAAGGTAAATTCCAGATTTTATATCATGCCTTTACAACGCTTTTCAAGTCTCAGGAATTCTGCAAATGGCATTTTAGCGAGGGAAAAATCGTAAACATTATTTTTTGGGGGGAGGGGTATGGCTCTGGACCCCCTCAAGAGATCGCGCCAGAGGCAGGGGACGTCACTCGCCTTCCACACCATTGGTGTTCAACGCTACTTCGGTAGTGTACAACCCCCCCTTTCAGAAATTCCTGGATCCGCCCATGCAAAGGCGTCGAATTCAAGTGGCAAGAGGTCCACCAAAAGGCGCTACACCAGCTGAAGTGTAGTCTCACCTGTGATGAAGTCATGGCTTACTTTGATCCTCACAAGAAAACTGTTCTGTTTGTGGATGCCAGTCCAGTTGGGTTAGGTGCTATGCTGATACAAAGTGGCAAAGTGATCTCCTATCCCAGTAAAGCACTCTCCAGTGTAGAATGGTGCTACTCCCAGATTGAATGAGAAGCATTGGCCATCACTTGGGGTTGTCATCACTTCCGCATGTACTTGCTAGGACGCCACTTTAAAGTGATAACAGACCACCAGCCCCTGTTGCATATCTTCAACAGTTCTACTTCCCAAGCTTCAGCAAGGATTGACAACTGGCGTCTGAAGTTGCAGTCATTTGAGTTCGAAGTTCTGTACTCAAGAGGGGATTTAAATCCAGCTGATTACATATCAAGACACCTACAAGCTGCCATGCAGTGTGACCTGATTGCTGAGTCTGCAGAGCAGTATGTTGACTTTGTCATGACACAAGCCACACCCAAGGCACCAAGCAAAGATGATATCATCAAGGGTACAGTACAAGATGCAACTCTACAGGAATTGATGCGTCTTATCTCAAATGGCCAGTGCAACAACCTGAAGCCAGTGAATGGAGTTGTACCCTTAAGATTTTTGCAAATGTTCGGAATGAACTTAGCTCAGTAGATAGTAACATTGTCCTTCATGGAAATTGAATTGTAATTCCTGGTGCTCTTCAGAAGCGTGTCATTGAATTGGCTCATGAGGGTGCTCAAGGCTTAGTCAAGACCTGCAGTTTGATGAGATCCACAGTCTGGTTTCCAAAAACGGATGTTGCTGTTGACCAAAATGTAAAGAAGTGCTTTCCATGTCGGATTGCTACACCAAAACCCTCTCGGGAACCGTTGAAAATGACCCCTCTGCCTGATGGTCCTTGGCAACAAGTGAGCATTGACTTTTGTGAAGTAGCAGGGCATTATGTTCTAATAGTGATTGACGATTACTCAAGATTTCCTGAAGTTGAGATTGTGCATTCGACTTCTGCAAAAGTGGTCCTTCCTAAGTTAGATCGCGTATTTGCCGCTTATGGTGTGCCTCAAGTTGTCAAGTCTGATAACGATCCTCCTTTTAATGGTCACGAGTTTGCCCAGTTTGCAGATTATCTTGGTTTCAAGCACCCTAGAGTTACTCCTCTGTGGCCAGAAGCAAACGGCGAAGTGGAACGCTTCATGAAAACATTTGGCAAAGTGCTCCATACAACTTCTAACTGGAAGCAACAGATGTACCAGTTCCTGCGAAACTATCGAGCAACTCCTCATTGTACTACTGGTGTCGCTCCTGCCACTGCCCTCCTTGGAAGACCAATCAGGATCAAGCTGCCCTGCCCTGTTGCTGTTCCATGTGAGTCAAACTTGAAACCAGCACTAATGCGTGAGCATGATGCCCACCAGAAACTCAAGACGAAGACTCTCGCTGAGAGCAGGAGACCTATTAAGAATTCTGACATACAGGTTGGAGATACTGTGTTGGTAAAGCAACCAAAGACGGGGAAGTTCTCCACACCATACCATCCAGTACCACTAGAAGTCACAAACAAGAACCACAGTATGCTGACAGCTGAAGGAGCCGACCGGAGTGTGACTCGCAATTCTGCCGATTTTAAGAAGCTTCAGCAAGACCATGTAGATCCAGTATCAGTTGACACAAACTCAAGTGCAGACCCAGTACCAGTTGACACCAGCTCAAGTGCAAGTGCCTAAGCTGAACTCCCAACAAGGAGGTCCGCTCGTGTGTCCAAGCCTCCCAGGAGGCTGATTCAAGAAATGTGACTATGTACATTTTTTTGTTGTTGTTGTCGAAATCATATTAGTGTTTTGATTATGAACATTCGAGAACATCTAAGATTACGTTTAAGTGACGTTCAGAGAACTTTACACTAGGTCAGGACATTTTCCAGAATAGCAGTGTTATAGGATCTACTAGTATTCATTTTGCTCCATGCTTTTTTTTAGTAAGGTTAGATTATTAGTTTCTTTTTGTTTGTTCATGTTATGTCTCAAACTAGAGGTAAGAGGAAATGTAATGTTTACGTCACAAGTGGCATGATGCTTGAAGCATGCCAGGGTTGTAGAGAATATAGTGAGTTGTTGAACATGTGCTTGACTGTCGAGTCTTGCTCATTCACTTTGTGTAGAATAACAAACTATTACACAATCGTCCACAGGCTTCACGCTCTTGTATATAACCATTGAACTATTTTTTCTAACTTGTGGTTACAAGAGTGACAGTTCCATTGACATGTCACCTCTGTGCGAGGCCACATTTTATTATGAAAACATGTCAGTTTTAATTGGAAAAACTACAAAAAGTGGGGAGCGTTTATACCTTCGCGTAGAACCATCTCTGTAAAAACACTTAAGACTAGCTTCTGTCGTCAATGAGCACTATGATAGAAATTATAGCTCTACAAACAACGAGTTAAAATTTCATGCTCAAAGAGGATGAATCTTTGTGCTCCGTGTTTTAGATTGTAATGAGGAATGTTGATTTTTTTTCTTCACAGAAAAAGCCTAAATAAGTATAAGTTTAAGAAATTGTGGATAACTTTCTCAGAAAAGAACTATGTCTATCGAAATATAAAGCATATAACCTGGGAAATTTCTCTACCTTCGCCGCCACCTTGAAAATTTTACATCCACAATGCATCGCAGTCCCAGTGCGCACACTGCCTGGATTTATCATAGACTTGACTCTGGGTCAGGTGCCACTTTTGCGAAATTACCGTTTAGCTCTCGTTATGCAAATTACTTTTCCTCCTGAGCAAATTAAAGGTCATTTTAAAAAAATCATATCTTAGCCACCTTTCCATAGAATGCAACCATTAAACTTTGACACTATCAATCAGAGATAAAACTTTTGTGTGTAAAATAATCAGCTAATTCAGCATTGAAAGGTAGGTTTGACAGAGCCCTAAAGTTTCAGCTAAATCACACCACTTCCGACGGCAAACTGTCCCATTGTAGGCGACCTAGAAAATCTTCCTGTAATATGGAGAAAAAATTGAGTTGGTCCAAATAAATGTGATATCTCTTCACGGGATAGGATAGTTTCCTTACATGGGAAAAATCAGGGCAATCCGTGATAGACTGAAATTTGCCTTATCGGTTCTTACCCGGACAGCCTCTTAAGTGGTTGATGTTACCAACGTTCGCGGGTCCTGATTTAGAAGTGGATTTTGATCTAACTTGTCTTGTTATTCTTGATCTCGAGGGGTCTTATCGGAACTGAAAGGCAAGCTATCTTAAAACTAATTATTAAAACCCTAGTCACGTGGTACTGAAATGTCCCCTCATAGTTTTATCCATGCCATGTATGACCTCCTTGCCCATTTAGCATACAGTGGCAAGGTAGATATATCATTATTCCATTCCTCTTACTATCAGCATCTCTACATGGTAGGGCACCATCATCTTTATCATCACTTCCATCATCATCACTACCATCATCCATTAAGTCATCAATGTTGCCATCATCAGCAATTATGCAAATGTTATGTAACACACATGTAGCTGCAATTTTCACTGGTGCATCCTCAATCTTGTCCACCTCTATTAGTGTCTTTGTCTTCCTAAATCTACCCTTATAAGAGACTGAGGGATCTTTTTACAATCATTCTTGTCAAGCTGTGAACGAAATTATATCATCTTTGTCTCCTGGTGAGACGCCCATTTTCTCGAAAAGGGGTGAGCACCCACACCTTTAAAGGGTATGCAGAGTCACCAATCAGATGGATATTTCTTGGAAATACGACATCGGGATTTGCTTCAGCATCTTGGAAAAAGGGTGAATTTCTGAAGACTATGGCATCATGTGCAGAAGCAGGATAACCACAAAACACATCAGCGAATAGCATGTCCGCATCGCAAATTACCTGTAACTGCGGCGAGTGAAACCCCTTATGATTTATGTACTGTTTTAGGTTTTTTCGTGGTCCTTTGACTAGAATATGACATCTATCGATAGCACCTAAAACACCAGGAAATCCCCATTTTTCCTCAAATCGTTGTTCCACTTCTCTTGCTCATTGACCTGAAGGAAACTTGATAAACTGACCAGACAGATTGTTGGCAATCGCTCCACATACTCTGCAACAAACATGAAATGCACTTGATTTTGTAATGTTAAATCTGTCTGCTACTGACCTCAGGCATTCAGGGTTCCCAAGTATCCTTAATGTAATTAAAACTTGCTTCTGTAAGTCAATGATAGGTCTTCCACCATTCTTTTGTCCCTAGGGAAGATCTGGGCAAGCAGCTAGCAAGCCTTCCAAAAAAGTGACTGTTGTGCGAAACATCTGAAAGGGACGTCGAAAATCTGACAAACTATAGAGCCGTACAATTTGTTCAAAGTAACTGTCATGCGGATATGGTTTTCTCTTTCCTTGCAGGTAATGAGCAGAAACAAAAGAAATTCCTTGTCTCCATCACAACTGCTTGCCTCTAGTAGCATTGCATCATCAGTGAGAGAATAGCAACACTATTTACGGCAGCCATGTTGTGTTTATGTTTTCAAGTTTTGCGCCTTTTGCAGTTATCTGCTGACGAGCACTTGTATTTTGTGCCTGCTGCCATGGTAACTGATCAAATGAGCCAAAATCTCGTTCCTTTCGTGCGCTATGAAATGAGTGATCTATGATCAGTAATCCTGATCCAGATCCACGCAAAGGAACGCACCCATAGAAAACTGGATTCCTGCTATCAATCACCACCTCAGAAATGGTAAAATAATGACTTTCCTTCTAACTAACTAAAGAGGGTTTTGGGCACAAGAGAAACAAATGGGGAGAGCGAGGTGGGAACTGGAGGGAAACGTCATCTAGAAGATTACTATTTTCTCCATCCAGCCCCTTAATTACATAAAATAATTCCAGTCATCAGAAAATTTCTGGCTGTCAAAATGGTCTAATCGGAGGAAACTCATTTTGCACAAGAAAGCCTCTCTTGTCTGCAGGAAATTTGGGACCTTTGCATAGTGATGGGTCTCGAAGATGGAAAAGGTGAAAAGAGGTCGCCCCAAAATGATGGATAAGGATAATCCTGTGCTCCGGATCTGCCAAGGCATTCTAAAGCAACATACCGCAATTTTGAAAGTGTTAAGGCTTGCATCAATTTGTTTGTGTCATTGTCTGAGAAAGTGTTCCAGGGGCCAAAACTTGTGGTCGACCGATTTGGCTGAAACTTGGCACAGAAGTTGGTTGCCATGAGATATTTCAAAAGCCAATCTGGCTCACTTCTCTGACTTTAAGTTTTAGAGGTTCAGGGGGGTCTCATTTTTTGCCCTATGAGCACAAAAAATCCATCCTTTTAGGGGTCATTTTGAAACTGCCATAAAACCCAACTGGTAAATTGTGCTGCCAAATGAATTTGACTATGAATATTTCTATAATAGAGCTTTCATTTCATGCATGTAACTTTGCCTTCAAGGTATTGGACAGAGAGGAGCCTGGGGCTAGAGTTTGGCCAAAATTAATGTCAAAATTACAACCCAAAATTGCCATTTTTCAAAAAATCAGTGTATGTACCTGCCTTCTTGCATAACATCCGTACCTAAACCACTATTTACTTTAGTGACCCAATTATCAAAATCAGTTGAGAAAAATTTGGCTTATCACGGTTTGTTGAATTTTTGTCACAAACACTCCATGCCTCTATAAGGTTATGCAAAATGGAATTTTGAGCATAATTCATGCCATAAACAAACCAAATTGTTGACATGAAGCCCTGATTCTGTATCTGGTCAGTGAAAATGAATTCTTAAAGTCAAATCAGTTTAATTGTTTAGAAATACTCTGATTCTTACCTTTCAAAGGCCTTTGATTAGCACAACAAATACCCTGATTTAGCAAAACAAGGGTTAATTTGTACTTTGAAAACCTAGTACCCATCAAATAACACAAATGATGAAGGCCTTACCTCGATATAACGATCTTTCTAAACGATGCTTGAATTTTTCATTGATTAATATTCAGTTTCAAGTCATAATTCTTCTCCGTTGCTCCAAGTATGGAAAGTCTCTATATTTTGTCAGGCCTGATTTTTATTATGATTACAAGATAAAGTTAGCTTAACGAAAGCATTCGTTAGCATATAATCTATGTCTGTTAACAGCCCGAACATTTCTTGTAAATACCCACCAGTAAAGGAGGATGACCACGCATACATAGATATATACGTAGAGATATACGAGCTGCAGTTTATAGCAGTGTCGATGTGACCCGTTATTTGAGAGTCCTCTAGAGCAGAGTAAATGAAACCATCCGTCAAGAAGGAATGCACAGTTAGGAGAGCTGGATAGTAAAACAAAAAACTTGTGTTGCTAAATACAATAACCAAACGAGGCCAGGGCATTGAGATGATGCAAAATTAACTGGCCCGCCATTTTGGACATAGGAGAGAGTGGGACTGGACCGCGGTCACGTTCTTCTTCCGTTTCGCGGGTATGTTTTATCAGGTGTAAGAAATTCAAGGACAATTTCACGATGGCACTTTGTTCCTTTGGAGGGGTAAGTGATTAGTGCGGTGCCACCGCATGGGCTCCGCATGAAACAGGAATGGTTCCTTTATTATCCTGCGAGAATGATATGACTGAATGGTTGAAGGAAAAGTACAAGGGGTCAGGTGCGTCCGGGGCAAGAGGAAGACCTGGTCATACCAAACCTACAGGTGATTCAAAATATCTGTTAGGGATCATACACGTGCACAAATGGCTTCTATCGCGATCCAGTGGACACTTTTCTATCGAAGAGAGACCACGATATTTTACGATATTGTCGTCTCAAATTGTTTGCTTATGACTGATTGAAGATTTCCCTAGGTAATTTACTTGATTCTTGCGAAGAGAAACAAACATTCAACAAATTGTTCACAGGAAGGGCAAAGAGGTTGACTAAAATTCTAACTTTGAAAGGTAAGAGCGCAGTTATTTTATTGCAGCAATCTCTATAACTAAAAGCAACGATAAGAATAACTTGAAGTTGAAGGCTGTTTTTCTTCTGCTCGCTCTGTTTGTTTACATTCAGCTTTACCTGTGCAGAAGCTTATCACGTAATCACAATTCGAGCGTGAAACCCTACCGGTTTCCTATATTTGCCAGTTTCATCTAAGATAAGTGAACTTGAAAAATCTTTGCAAACATGCTGCATCGAAGCTTTTTCATCGAAACTTACTACGCTTTATAAAGCAATGGTAATGAATGGAGATTTTTAAAGGATTGATCGATGCGTGAGTCTTATCTGGCATTATAACATACCACAGGAAACCCACCTTTTTAGGCAGGCCCTTTGAAGGTTCAGTTCATAGAAATACAGCTTAAAATCCCAGGTTACAACCCTGTCATTTCCGAGCAGCGCTGATTGTTCTTTATCGTGCAAATTACGTTTGGTTGTTGTTGGTTTTTTTTAGTTGCAGGCTCTTAATGAAACATCTCTTCCCTAGTGATGCTAATGCATTACTCACCTAACACTTTCTTCACTCAAGCTTTTCCCTAGATAGTAGATTTCTGGCTCTCTACCTGTGTGTGTATGTGGGAGGGGGTAGTGGGTGGAGGGGGACACATGCTAGTGAAATCGTTACACCCCTCAATCCTGAATTACTTATGTTAGACACGGTATGTTGTTAACTTGCGAATTGTGCTGTAGGATAAATGCTGTCATCCATGCCATGAAGAAAAAGCACCATCGCGTGTAAAAAAAGTGTCTAAAGCATTCACCCGCAAGAGGCGTGTGAGCAAATTCATGGCGGAGAGAATCTACAGGAACACTGGCGTTGTCGTTGCTATAGGCTCTGGTAAATATATACTGTATCTATGTTTTCTTATTTCTGTCCATGATACCCAGGGGTGGCACTGTTCTTCCAAGCAAATTCTTTTACTTTCCCCCTTTTTT